CTTGGCAGGTTTTCCAGGCGCACAAAACTGGAGGGAGTCCTCACTGGGTGGCTGTCTCTCTGGAGTTAGAGCAGGTCATCTACTAACCAAGGCTGGTTGTTCGATCCCTGCCTGCTCCAGTCTCCAAGTATCCTTTTGGAAGATACTGAACCCCCAAACTGCCTTCCAATGTATTCATCAGATTGCAAATCTGTGTGATTCGCTTGAACAAGTGCAAGATAATAGATGAATTAATGGATTTGTAGTAGGTTTTCCATACATTCATTACATTTACACCCAAAGTACAAGAAATGAAGACCCTCACTGAAATAAGGTTAAGACCAAAGACAACGTTTAATCCATCTTTGAAAAACTGACTCTTCATTATTTAGCGACGTAGCCAAGAAAACTTTAGGGACAATGTTGATGACTAACCAGTATTAAATAACAATAGAACCATCACAAGTTTAAGACCAGCAAACCAGTTGGGGGGCACCAGTGTGTCTACACTTTTGAGGGTAGGGTAGACTGGATTAGACTGGGAGGAGACCCAGCTTTTCAGTGATATTTCCAAGCTTGGAAAAATTGGAGCATTATAAAGGTCATAAAGGTAAAATACAGGGTCTATAAAAAAATAATCTCCTGATTCGAAAGAGTTTTAACTTCACAGCCGTTCACCCCTCATTGAGACTGAAAGAATATAACACATGGAACTCAAACTATACTAAACATGAGACACCACCGAAAAACTAATCCCTCACCAAAAATATGACATATTTATAATCATGATCAAAGCACCAGAGAATAAGAAAATAATCCATAATGCAAAAATAAACCAAAACATAAGAAATTCATCCTGGGTCGAAACGACCCAGAACCGTGACAATTGAAGTTTTTTATCACCCAGTGTTGCTTTGGATAGATACTACCACAGTGTAACTATACTATGGGTTTTTTGCTTTTCCAGGTAAAACCATCAGACAAAAGTGACCGAGCACACGTAGATGATCATGTGACTGAGCAGATCGAGCAGACTGAGCAGACGGATCAGAAAATCCAGATACCAAATTTACCAACCCCACTTCCCACCCAACTGGCTACTACCAAAGCCCCAGAGACACCTGAGAGCAATGAGTATCTGGAATCCTTTCAATGTTGGTATGTGGACTTAAGTGATTTAAATGCTTAAGTGATTTAATTTCACCTTGGTTGGAGTTATCTTTTGCAGCTCACCTGCAGTGCTTTCCTCTCTTGATTTTTTAAGGCAAAAGTGACCATAAGCAGATGAAGACAAAATAATAATCCAATTTAAACAGCTGTGCTGTAGAAGATTTGTCCTGTAGGCTGAAAACATATTTATTCCTCCTGTAAAAGTTGAACATTTTAACATGGGCTGACTCCCTTTTGGAGCTTAAAGTGGACTTAAAGTGGAATTAAATTTTTTCCAGTGATTGCAGATGGGGCACTTGGTTTTACTGTAGCTACTTATCCTAGGACAAGCCATTTGGTGGAAAGGAAACACTTCTTTTTTTATTTTAAATGTTAATTTTTCAGCCCTGGAGATTGTGAGATTATTTATTTCTTCCTGATAAAAGTGACATGAAGGAAACACAAAAGGTTATTCTGTTATTCCATTCAAAATATGATTATTGTGTGACTGCAAATCACACAATAATCATATTTTTGCATGATTATTGTGTGATTTGCAGTCTGCCTGATCTGTTGGTCTACATTTATTAGGAAGACTCGTGCATCATGTGATGTGGCTTTTTGCCTTCCATGGGAGCGTTGCGTTGAAGGAAAGTGCACATGTAAACCTCCTTATCTGTGCCCCGTTGAGAATGTGAACCCAGTTTGTGGCCATGACAACAGGAACTACCGATCCTACTGCCAGGTAACTCATTATAGTCCTAGGTATGACTGCTATATCTTCAGTCAGGAACCAGTCAGGAACTAAACTAGCGGACACTGATATAAGACAAGAAGGCCTAGTTGTTAGTCCCCACTCTAAATCATCCCTAAGGTCTTCTATCAGGTTGAGGTCAGGAATCTGTGCATACCAGTAAACCATACCAGTAATGGAAACCCATTCGATGAAGCTCTCCATGTTCCTGAGCTGGTCTGAAGGCCAAATGATGGTTGGAGGTCTGCAGCTAATGAATCAGCAGAGAATTTGCACACTATGCATCCACTGACCCAGCTTTGTGATTTTACAGGACCCAGCATTTCGAGTTGCTCTCTTCCACTTTGTTATAATACCACTAACAGGTGACTGTGGATCATCAGGTGACCAATCTTTCACAAATGTTTTGTAGAAGCAGTCTGCATACCTAGGTGCTTAATTTTATACACTGGTGGCCACCTGAATTCCATGATTTGGATGGGTGAGTGGATACTTGGCAATATAGTGTACATGCACTGAGACCAAAACTGGTTCATCCCAAAGACAAAACTCCTAAACACAAACTTAACAATGTACTGTATGGCATACAGCGAGGAATGCCCAGACCTCTACATTGGAGAGACCAAACAGCCACTTCTTAAATGCATGGCACAACATAGAAGAGCCACCTCCACGGGGCAAGACTCAGCAGTCCATCTGCACCTAAAGGACAAAGGTCACTCTTTCGGAGATGCTAATGTTCACATTTTGGACAGAGAGGACAGATGGTTTGAAAGAGTGAAAGAAGCCATCTATGTCCACTGTCAGCGACCATCTTTGAACAGAGGCGGTGGTTTACGACACCAACTCTCTGAGATCCCTTCCCAGACGCCTTAACGCCCACTCACATCCTGGGCCATCTGACCTCAGTAAATCACATGATAGGGTGGGGCCAGGTTTCACAATGGGTTCACCCAAAACCCTGGCTGATTGTGACCCAGACCTGTTTTCACACCTTGGCTCATGTGATTAGACAGAGGATCAATAGGGGATCCATGACCGTCGTGGGGACACACCCATAGGGCTTAAAATCTGTGACTCTTCACCAATTGCTCTTAGAACTGAAGAAGCTTCTTGTATGAGCAGTGAAACATCTTCAAGAAACTCTAAGAAGTCCAGACGCTTTTCTTTCCAAGCTCTTTAGACTACAATGACCTGGATGACTGAGAACCTTCACAGACATGCATTTTGGTTGTACAGTTGTTTTTAAGATTTCCTTGTGTGCATGTCAAATAGCTAAAAATCAAAACTAATCCTGACCTAACCAAGACACAGTTGATCTTCTGTATGTTACAAGGTTACAGAACATTAGATTATATTGCACATTTAGGTGCCATTATTTTTAAATTTCTATTTAATCTCTTTTCCAGGTGATGGCGCTCTCATGCCGGACCTGGAAATCCCACATGTCCCACTTTGGGGATAACTGTGATGGTTCGCTCTTTCTGATGCATTCAAAGCTTTGTGATTCTTTCTGAGATTCCTACAAATTGTTTATGTTACTTTAACCTCTTTTTCTCACAACAGTAAATAGTCCAAAGTTCAGAACTTCAATAGATGAGGAAACCGGATTAGTCAAGTTGTTTGTTCCTGACAGCAATGGTGGGGAGGAATTACTGGTGTGTAGGAAGATGTGGAACATGGCTGCTGCTAATGTGGCTTGCAAGGAACAGAAGAAACCACTGTGAGAGAAATTACACAAATTAAGAATAATAAAGCATGAACATATAGGATAAATATACATGTTTATCATCTGCTAGTCAATAAAAATGTAATTCAGCAAATAACCACAGTATTAGAGTCAGACACTTCTAACATTGTGTGTACAGGGGTGCAGGATCCAAAAACACAGTGGTGTACAACACCTTGACAGCTTCCACACAGCTTCCACGCAGATGTGTTAGTGTCTACTGCCAAGGTTATGAAACGTCCTTAGCTGAGTGTGTTATCTACGACAAAGTGGAGGTTACAGAAGAATCGTTAGTTGCTACTGCAACCTGTTACCAGGAATCAACAGCACCAACAGGTCAGTATGTGGTAATTCTACTGTATTCTTGTCTGTGGTTAGAAAACAATGTACTCTTACACATTTGTAATCGGTAAATTTGAACTGGTAAGAAGGTTTTCAGGGTGTTCTTAAGGTACTTGTACTTATCATAAATGCATTTAGAAATAACTTAAAATTGTATAAGAATGATCATAATAAAATTGTTCCGAATCAACACTATTAAGAGAATGTTTATGAATTAATGTCTAAAAGTAAAAAGTTTATCAGACCATTATGCCTTCTGCCTGCCTTCGGGGATGGGTGCTTCGGACTGGTCCAAATATAAGGAGACCACAAAGCTGACCTAACACATTTTGCAGATATAACACCTCTCTTGGAAACCTTTCAGTGTCCCCCACCAGAATAGCTCGAAAAGGTGCCTGGGAAGAGGGACGTTTGGGTGTCTATGTATAGACTATGCCCTTGCAACCTGGACCTAGACAAGTAGCAGAAGATGATTGGATTGTTGGAAAATTCAGTGGAACTTCTAGAATAAACTAATTAACTGATATAAAAAAAAAAAACCTCACCTTAAACGTCATTAGTCTTCTGCAAGTGCAACTGCACTCAGCAGGGACTTCTTGTTGGGTATAAATTTAGATCTTAGACATTTATTTGAGCTTTCTCAAAAAAATTGAGTTGCTAAATGAACATTTCTGTATTCACAATCTAAACTGTCAACCCATCTTTCAGCTTCTGAAACCCAACATGAACATTTTTATCATCATCAGGCTCATATGACTCCCTGAATTTGAAAATTTAGAGACAGTGATGCTCAGTCTTCATTAATAAATAATTTTCTTCATCAGAATCAAATATTTTCTCCTCCACTCTAAAAGAAGTTTGACTCTTCTATCTGTTTTAGACCGTCCCTTCACCTGTGCGAATGGAAAGCGTGTGGATCAACACCACACGTGTAACGGAATTGATGATTGTGGTGACCAAAGTGATGAGATGTGCTGCAAAAGTAAAACTACACACACACAAACACAATCAGAAATTATCTTACCTTAGCTTTGTGCCCCAAGTTTTACAATGTGAATCATTGTATTTATCAGAGTGCAGAAAAAATGCTTTCCACTGTAAAACGGGAGTGTGTATTCATAAAGAAGCACTCAGTGATGGCAAGATCGACTGCCTGGATGGCGAGGATGAATCAAACAAATTTAAGTCAAAGCAAAGTAAGGCACAACATATCTTTACTTCCACACAGTTTTAGAAAAACAGATGTTTGCTTTTAGAAAGTTGTTGTTTTTTTGTTTGTTTTTTTGCAATTTAGTTTCTTCCACTTGTAAAACTGGTTTCACTTGGGTTCCTGATCTACCCAAACTTTGGCAATTACATAAAGGCTAGTTACATCTTGGAGCAAAATTAGTCCAAGAACACTATACCAGCAGAAATTCAAACTATAACTTACTGCTACTTACACAGCCAAGTTTAACATGGACCTTTCTTGAATAGGCAAAAAGAATAAGCCAAACTGAGGAAACCAAAAGGTTAAGGTGGGAAAAAAGGAAAAGCCGGAAAACAAGCAAAAAAAATCCTCCAATAAGAAAAAACCTCATGATGACTACTACAAAAAAAATTTCGCCAAAATTAAAATAACGTGAAACTAAATTTAACTGTGTCATCTAATCTTTTACATTTAAGTAAAAGATTAGATTAGAAAGATTAGATTTAACACCTGTTCACACTGATAGTGTCATGTGGTTTGCTTCATATAACCATAATACAAATAGTTGTCACAGTTAAAAAAACGGCAACTTCTGGTGAATGACTTTCATAGCTAAAAGTCCACAACCATCGTTTTTTTTCCATGCACCCGAGTCCTTATAGCAATATGTTTCTGTTTTCTGTAGAATCACTTTCACAGAAAGGTCTGCCCAAAAATTCAGGTAAATGAAATCCTCACGGCAGATGTTTGAATATTTCACTGTTTTAATTAGTGATGATGATAGTAATTATTCTTTCTTCCTGTATTTCAGAGTACATCTCTCCGATGAATGGTACGTAGATTAAACGTGACTTATCAGAGGTGGTGGCACATCATATTTTATATGCAATAATTAGATAATCTTGATGCTATAGTAGACAATGACATTTTTGACAACAGTTTTCTAATAGCTACAGTTTAGGAGACCTTTAATCATTGGTATAAGAGAACCTCAGAAGTTTGCATGGATTCCAAAGCTTAATCTAATCCAGTTGGGATACACTGGACTGCCAACTGCAATCCAGAATTAGTCACTAGTATTAGTGTGTGACCCTCTCACATACTATATGATTAGAACAGTAGGAAGTCTACCTATTGCAGAGGTTCCCAAAATGTGGGGCCCGCCCCCTGGGGGGGGCGCAGAGCCATTGCAGGGGGGGGCCGGATTGCAGGGGGGCGAAGTATGAAAAAATAGTCACGAAGATTTCTCTTTTAAAACAAAGGGGGGCCTAGCAAAAACAGTTTAGGAACCTCTGACCTATTGTAACCCTCATTTCAATTTGCATATGTTCTTTAATTCAGTCCTGAGGGTACAAGATCACCTTATATACAGGGATATCTAGTCCCCAGGGTATGAATTTCAACAAAACTCTGCGTTATATAGCTTTGTGTGTTGTTAACTTTGTCCAGAAACGAAGGCCAACAGAAAACACCTGGAGGCCAAGCTGTTCTGTGGCATTCCAAATGCTACCACAGTGGATGATGAGGAAGTGGTGCAACGAGGACAGAGTACCCATGGAAGAGTCAAGAGGGTAGTCGGGGGAGTACCAGCAAAGCCGGTGAGCTGGAATCAACATAACTTTTTGAGTACAGTTACCGTTCCTGCTGCTACTATGTGGTTTTGTTTTGTTTTGTCATTCTTACAATGTAGCATAAGGATCTCCCTCTGATGCTAAATACCCAAAGGGATTTTTAAGGTCCTGTAGATCCTCAGATGCTCCACCTGTTTGAAGCCCTAGACCTCTTGCCTAGTGTATGATAGTGTACGATAGCCCTGTTGGTTAAATCCAAAATGCTATGTCATGGCATGCCTACCTTGCTTAGACATACCAATTTAAATCAAAACATGATATACTCCCAAACCTAACCAAATCACTTTGGTGGCTAAAACTAACCAAACAACAAGTCACATAGACTAAAAGAAAAGAAAAGAAACCCCAGTTTCTCTCTTGATAGTTCTGTTACTCTAGCAGACGTCCACAAATTCAAATCCCAGCTGAGTATCATCACACGGAGTAAATTTGAAACCATTGGGAACAAACTGAAGAATTCCATAACCGTTCCTCTCAAGAAAGAGGATAATGCCATGTCTGTTTCTGTGATGACATTGTTTTCATAGAAGGTCTTGCTTATTTCAGCACGAAAATGCCACACCCCATTTGGCACAACTGAATGATAACTGTCATCATAAGTAACAAGCAACACATGAATAACCTGCCACATATCTTCCTGTTGGTGTGTAGACCCAAATCCAGTGGCAGATTGCTCTGGAGGAAAACAAGAGGATTGACTGTGGAGGAGCTTATATCGGAGGCTGCTGGGTCATCACTGCAGCTCACTGTGTCAGGTCGGACAAATCACTCACACCACTCCCCCTTCCTAACATCAACACATTGAAGGTTTTAAAACACTTTTTTAAGACTAGGCATTGCTTTGAAAGTCCTCACACATTAGGGTTTTTCTCTCCTGGTACCTTCACTTTCAAAAGTAGTGAAAATTTGATACAATTTCCAGAAAAATTTAGCCCATGCTCTGGTCAGTGCAGTTAAAAGTCATGCTTTGCCTTGGAAGTCAGCAATAACCATATGTCTCTCCCTTGCTGTTTACAGACCCAACCCCCGTGCCTTCAGAGTGAAGTTTTCCCTCTGGAAAAAATCTCGAGCTCAAGACACAACTGACATTGTTCCTGTTGAGGACATCATTATCCACCCAAAGTATGAACAACACTATCTATACATAAATGTACTCTATTCGTTTACAGGTACATCTTTTTCTTTTTTCATTCTAATAAAGCAGTTTTGAATGATCCACAGTTAGAAATACCAATTTTTCTTATACTGGGCCTTAGTTAGGACACTCAATTCATCCTCTGTCAGGCAACTTCCCCCTTATTCGGTGGGTAGGTAGGCTTCTGCACCTGAGATGACCGTATTTGGGATTCCCATTGTGGGTAAATGATATCATAAAGATCCAATGACAGAAGAAAGCTGAGTGAAACTGAATGTTGAGAGAAGTCTGAAGTCTGAGCTCATGACT